ATACACAATAACAATGGTGATTGGAGGTTAAGGACCAGGTGGTCCATACACAATAACAATGGTGATTGGTGGTGAAGAACTACAAAGAGAAGAACCTAAGTCTAAGAACAGGAATTTCAAATGTGCTAAAGCTATAACCTCTTTTCTCAGACAGTCCTAGGTTAGACTGAAATATTGCAGCAGCACCAGCACCTTTGCCAACTGGGCGAGGGTTATGCTGAAATCAGCTGGAGTAGATTCATTTAGTGCCATGAATTCATTAGTTTTAAGCCAGGTCTCTATAAGGCATAAGGACCAAGACTAAAATCAGTAATCATTTAATTTATTAGTAATGCCGTAGGAGCCAGTGACCTTACATTCAAAGGTCCAGGCAGGAAAGGCATCTAGCCACTAATCCTGAGGCACGTTTCCCAAAAGGTCCCTTTAGCAACTTAGATTTTATTTTTGCCATTTCAAATAAAGACATGGGGCGGCATGGTGGTGCAGTGGTTAGCACTGTTGCCTCACACCTCTGGGACCTGGGTTTGAGTCTCCGCCTGGGTCACGTGTGTGTGGAGTTTGCATGTTCTCCCCATGTTGTTGTGGGATTTTCTGCGGGTACTCCAGTTTACCCCCACAGTCCAAAGACATGCTGAGGCTAATTGGAGTTGCTAAATTGCCCTTAGGTGTGCATGTGTGTGTGAGTGTGCCCTGCAATGGGCTGGCCCCCCATCCAGGGTTGTTCCCTGTCTCATGCCCATTGCTTCCAGGATAGGCTCCAGACCCCCCATGACCCAGTAGGATAAGCAGGTTGGACAATGGATGGATGAATAAAGACACAGCATGTGTTTTGATAAACATGTGCCTTTCAGTTTTTATGTAATTATGATATCTATTTTCAGTGCTGTATCATTACAATACTATGGTAAACATACACAAAATACTATTGAAAATAAGCTTTTATTGCCATAATAGCTTAATGGTTTACCATTGTATTTTAACTGAAGATATATTGTAATACTATGTAGTATACCATGGTATATAGGTGGCCAAATTACATTTTACCATAGTAGTACTACTATGCTTTTACTTTGATGATAATACCATACTGCTTTTTTGTAAGGGTGGCTGGATGGATGGATGGATGTGTGGATATGTATTTGTAATCAGGTCTGTCTCTGAGGAGGGGCAGGGCGCAGGGTGAGCCAAATTATTAGGGCTCCCAGCTGAGGCCAGTACACACTAAGTAACAGAAGTCACTAAGCCTGTTACACCCTGGTCATTGTAACACAGATGCAACTTTAATGAGGAATGATACCTCACCGATGACTGACAGTCTGCAGTGTAACCATTAATGAGGAATGATACCTCACCGATGACTGACAGTCTGCAGTGTAACCATTAATGAGGAATGATACCTCACCGATGACTGACAGTCTGCAGTGTAACCATTAATGAGGAATGATACCTCACCGATGACTGACAGTCTGCAGTGTAACCATGCTGCACTTCCTGGTGCAAATTCTCTGATTAAGTTTCGAAACTGAAGGCTGAAGCATCATCCTTCTCAACAGTCAGCACTGCAGGTCCACATCATCTCTCCCGAGACATGAATGTTCTCAGGTTGTGAACATGTTAGCTAGTTAGCCAGCACAAAACAGAAGCGTGGCCACACAGGTCACGTTAGCCTAGGGTAAATGATTACGCCCAGGATAGGATTTAGACAGGATTTAGATTACGTGTATTTCCAGCATACATTTCGCCAAAATGACACATTCAGATGAAATGTGGCTGTATACAGTCAATGAAAAAAATAATAATAACTGATTATTATTTAGCCTATCATTATCCAGGCAAGTTTCTCATTTGGGCGAGCCCCCTAGAGGGTGCGACCCAGTGCAGCCTAACCAGTTGCACCACCCCAACGATAGCTCTATCTGTAGCATGTGTATATATGCAGAAATAGGTGCATTTGCATACATAGATAAATAAATGTGCTACCACAAATCAGTCAGTTATGTTTTATTTTGCATGCAAGTTCTTGCCAAACAGTTTACAGCAAACTGTAAAAGTATAGAAATGCATATAGTATTTAATATACGCTATACTTTATATACCTGTACATGCTCTGCAGCTTTTGAAGTCACTGCATCATGAGTGGCAGTGCTGGATTTTTTAATCCCCATTCCTTGCAAATTAGCATGTTATCCTCCTCCTGTGTATGGGAGGGACAAAGCAAGGCCTTGTATAAATGGATCCCCACATCAGCATGTAAGGAACATCTGCAGAGGCCAGCATTGCAGCAGACAGACACCATTGCAGCAGGACGTGTGTGTGCAGCCAGCTGAGAGAGGGAGAGACAGGGAGCTCAGTCCTCTACCGGCCACCATTAAAAGGAATCAAGGTACTATTGCTACTGTTTACAGTTTGCATTAACATTTATTTATGCTAAATAATTTGGTCCTAAGTCAGTGGAAATGTCTTAATGTTACACAATAATATCCTACAAGCTTAATGTGGAAACCATGGAAACAGGAGCGATGTTGGACAGTGTTAGATTTTTTTTAGAAGGAATTGCTTGTGCTATGATTGGATACTTTACATTTGGTTGTCAGAGAGGGTTACAGAGAGTATCCAAGCATGTTAGGCAAGTCAAGCAATAACAGGTATGTGTGTGTGTGTGTGTGGTGTAGCAAGGAGGGTGGAGGCACTTCTAAGAGCCCAGGTGGGAGATATCCAGGTACTGGGAGGGAGTCGCTGCCCTGCTCCTTCCTTCCTGTAGGTAGTGCCATTTGTGACTTAGACCTCTCCTCCTGGTGTATCATATCCCAGGATGCAGCTCACCCTCTTCTCACTAACAGCCATTTTGCCCGTCGTTGCTTTTTCTGTCTGGTTGACCTCCCTCAGCAGGACATTTAGCAGCAGTGGGGTTGAACTGAAATGTGTTCCAGCTTGTTCTTGGTCTCCCATGCCACACATGATATGAGATGATAAGGTGATAAACCATCTTTCTGTTCTCGTAGGTTGAAGAACATCAAAGATCATGGCAGGTTGGTTCGTCTTCTCCATTCAGCCTTTGATTTTTCCACAGCCCTGCAATCAGGGGCCGCTTTGTTCTTTCTGATGCCCCCCCCCCCACCCACCCACCCAGTAACGTTAGTGAGTTAGCAGACTCAGAAGATCATTGCCAGTTAGCTGGTTAGCAGAACATCGCCTAAATAAGGAACAAGAATATTTCATATTTAGTGTTTTGTCTCTTTGTCACTACACCAAATATTTGATCAGAAAGTCCCTTGGGGGCCATAAGCAAATGTGTACCTACAGCGTGTTCCTTACTGAACCACTTGTTCAATCGATCTGTCACAATATAACGGAACAAGCTTGTTCTCGATACACGTTCTGTCTTCCTACTTTGCCAAAAAGGCACTTGTCTGTGCCACCCCAGATGCCAACTTCAAACAGGAGTTTTTGGATGCCCACAACGCTTACCGTGAGAAACATGGCGCCCCGGACCTGACCATGAGTGCCAAGCTGTGTTCCTCTGCCCAGAAGTGGGCTGACCACCTGCTCACCACCAAGAACCTTCAGCACAGTAACACCAACTATGGCGAGAACCTGTACTACTCCTGGTCCTCCGCCCAAAAGGAGCTGTCAGGTGAGGTGTGACATAGGCTCGAGCGACATTATAAATAAATTATTTATTTATTTTATTAATATTCTTTCAGGATATTCTGTTTGCCTACTTTGAACTTTTAAATTCGTTAGCACTATGTTTTTCTCTTTTTTTAAAAAGATAGAAAGACAGAAATAAGAAGGAACAAAAAAAGAAAGAAAGACAGAAAAAGAAAGGAAAAAATATATATATCCAAAGGACAGCTGCTGTATCTGTTGTAGAGGATACCATCGCACCAACTGCTACATCTGAAAAACAAAACCTAAACACACACAAAAACACAAACCAACGGCAACACTATGGCAACAAAAAAAAAACTGCCTATGGTCCTGACTAGTGGGTGCAGGGTGAGGCCATTTGTCTGGTGCCCCCATCACATTTGTGGGGTAAAAGACCTTGCTGGACGATCGAACCTGCAGAGCCACACAGTGCCCCTAAAATAAACACTGCTGAGAGTCAGGAATGAACCAGGGACCTTCAGTCTCGGTGTAAACCCATTCATGTGGCTGTTTGGTTTCTTAACTGTTAATTGTCTCACTGTGTCCCTACAGGGAACGAGGCAGTGGACACCTGGTACAATGAGATTAAAGACTACAATTTCAGCAACCCTGGGTTCAGCTCCGCAACAGGTAAACACTGTCTGTGACCTCAGTATCAGCTGCACCAGTGGGTTAAACCACACCCACCGCTGCTTACTCACAAATAAATGCTACGCTCATTTGACTGTATAGGCACTACACTTCACTGTGAACCAAATTCATTTTAAGAGGAATTGAAGGTGTTTGGGAAAACCTGGAAAATGATACGTTCGCCCCCTGGTGGTTCACATAGGGCACTTCACCCAAGTTGTGTGGAATACGTCTGAAGAGGTGGGCGTGGGCCTTGCCACTGACGGGAACTACTTTTTCGTGGTGGGCCAGTACAACCCTGCGGGGAACATGGCAGGCAGCTTTGAGGAAAATGTCCAACCTCCAGGTAACCCGTGAAAATCGAGGTGATGGATTTGCACGAGGAAGGCGCCTGCAAAAATGGCTGCAAGCCTTTGCACTTAACTTTTTAATTAAAGTCACATTTAAATGATCACAATGTGGAATCTATTTTGCTGTAGTTTTAAAGTTGTGGATGTTTGTTTGTGGGCAAATGTACAAATACCCAGCAGTATAACGAGCGTCCTGAAGGCGGAGCATGTGTGCCTCTCCGGCATGTCTAGTCCACCACCCCCCTTTCTCTGGCTAACAGCTAGTCCCTCCTCCCACCTGCGGGTGCTCCACTCATGGTCCTCTGTCCCGTCTATTTCTGTTCCCAGTGGAATAAACGGAACAGCCGTGCGTTTTACACCGGGAGCGCAGAGAGGCAGCAGAATGGCCATTTCCCATAGAACGACGTGCTGCAGTCTCCAGAGACTACTGTTATCTAGTCTGGGAACGCAGAGGCAGGACACGTGACCCGGCCTCTCTCTCTCTCTCTCTCTCTCTCTCTAATCAATTACAAAATTCATCCAATCAATCACAATAATAGGCTGTAGTTGATCATGATTAATCATGTTTAAAATGGTACTGGGCTGTTCGCTTGTATTTTTTGGAAGATGAAGTAAATACATGAGTGGTCTTGGAACAAAGAAATGCATGACAGACTGGTAAGAGGAATCATTTATTTTAAATATAACATCTTGGTTTTGGTAGTTGAAACCATTTAGTTGCATGGTTCCGAATGTGTAATAGCTAATGTAATTATCAACTATGCTTTTGGGAAACATACCCCCACTCTACTTTTATTTTTTAATTTTCGTCAGAACTTAGCTCCTTCCATTTTGGAACGAACAGAGAGCACGTAAGTTGGATCATTCATGTGAATTCTACAAGTGTTTTATTGCAAAAGTTTAATCTTTATGTAAAATATCTAATAAATAAAGAAACCTAATAAATTTCATCTTTCCTTGGAAAAACTGTCAACAGCACATATACGGAAATAGAAATAAAAGCAGATGTCCCACAAAACCACTCTATCTTCGCCTGGCTTTTATTTTGAAGCATCCCAAAGCGGCTATGACACACAAATGGGTCAATTGGTCGCTTTCACGTGACGTCACCTTGCTACGGCGCCAAGGCGCAAAATTCAGATGGAGGGCAGGAAGTGAAGTAGTAGTGAGGATCTGCAGTCTGGAAAAAAAAATGCCCATGTTTTGTGTAGTTTACAGCTGCTCCAATTGTTATAACCGAGAAAAGGAAAAGCGGTATTTTAGAGTACCAGAGATTGTCGTTCACAAAGGTGAGAAATGTAAAAAACACAGAACAACGTTGTAAAAAGTGGATTTTAAAGCTACGTCTGCGGTCAGGAGGAGCAGAGTCTGCTAACAGGCAGAACAAGCTGATTGAGAAGGCTGGTTCTGTCCTGTGTGTCAGATTGGAGAACCTGGCGGACGTGTCTGAGAGGAGAATGCTGAAAAAGCTTCTCAGTATCATAGACAACCCTTCTCACCCCATGCACGCCTCCATGATGGGTCATCAGAGCATACACAGCAAAAGACTTGTTGCCTGCAAACGCAGAACCGAACGCCACAGGAAATCCTTTCTATCTGTGGCAATAAAAGCGTATAACTCTTCCCCCTTCTGTAGGTGATCTTTTTCAGCATTTATGTCATTAGGTTCTAATTCAGATTGTACAACTTTTTTTATTTTTTATTTACTCACCTGTATGCTATTGAATGTTTGTTTCATCCCCTCATCACAAGCTGCTATCTCATTTCATTCATGGCACAAACACTAAGTCACTTTTCATAACCACTTGCACTAATCATCTGTTATTTTATTATATCTGTTATTTCTTTGTTAGATTTGGTACTTTTTATTCTGTTTTTGCACTATTACTACTGTTCTTTTTAAGCTCTTTACTGTGTCATCTTTATTCTTCTTGTTGCACTGAGCATGTTTAAGACGAAAGAATTTCCCTAGGGATAAATAAAATTATCTTAATGGCGTGTCTGCAGCGACCACTTCGTCAGAGGTATGTCGGTTTAAGCTCGGGTATGGGCCCAGATCTGAAGCAGACAGCTGACAACCCACAATCAGAGGGCATCAGTGGGAATGGGACATTAAATGATCAAGGTAAATTATTGTACTAAGATGTGTAACCAGCATTATTATTAAATATTACAAATGTGATGGTCAGAAAATCTATGCAAACCTCTAATTAGGTTTTCAAAATAGACGCTATTAGCCTTCCTCCCCCATAGGTCAACCCCTGACAGACAGGCCACATGTTAACGCTAAGGGTTAGTATGTGGCCTATCTGTCAGGGATGCATCTATGGGTTAGATAACGTTAGTGTATAAAAATAAGAACCTCTTATACAGAGTGTCCATAAAGTCTGCAAATGAATAGACACATCTGTGCACATTTTTACAAGATGAGGAGTAGATATTTTGTTATATCAACAGCCTCGATTGTCGGCAAATCTTTGGGTTCTGTCGAAAACTCACTCATCTTCATGAGAGACGGGTTACGTCCAACATATTTTTTAATTAATTGCCCGTATCGCTGTCTAGACACTGGGTCTAAATCCGCACAATACGTACTCTCTCCAACGCTTTCCTCCATAGACGTATACTCCATTTTAACTTGTCCTCCATTTGAAATCGCGCCACCGTCGCGCGTCATCATAATCACGTGACTGAAACCCAGCTATTGGTGGAAGCGGTGTGCCATTCTGGATGGGCTCAGCACGCCTGGCCAAACGACAGAGAGGGAGGAAGGGAGGGAATGTGTCTACGGGAATAACCGATCGGGGAATTTCATAACTGATTGTGTGTTTTTTTTTTTTTTTTACTGCTGCTCAACACTAAGGGCGTTTTTCCACCGCAACAGCTACCGAACTTTTGGTAATTCGAGAAAGTAAGGTGCTGGTTTTCCACACTGGCGTGAAAACTGATACCGGCGCCGAATGACATCACAGCTCGGAGGCAGAGGGCTTTTTTGTACTGAACTCGAAAAATGGCTGTAGTATATTATAGGGCTGGATGATGTGCAATAATAATTGATTTAACATCAATTAATATTAAAAAGGGGACTGATGCATGAGGGGACATGAGAACAAACAATAGTGTGATACAGGACAGACAGCACCGTGATACAGCTGTGTGACATAGGAGAGACAGCAGCGCAATATGAGACAGACGGCAGCATAACACAGGATAGGCAGTGAGATACAGGACACACAACAAACTGATACAGGACAAAACATGTGTAAATTGACATGGAAATTAATATACAAATTCCTCAAATGCTTATCCAGTAGAGGATCACAGTGAAACTGGATTCAATCCTGGGGGAGCTCAAGGTACATGGCCAGAGGATGCCAGTGCATCATAGGACACACATTTCCACACTATTGGTAAGTTACAGGTAACATTTCACACAGAGGAAATTGGAGTGTCCAGAGGATATCAGAACCATCATGCAGATATCTTACAGTCTGAATATTAACATGTTCGATAAAATGACCTGTGAGGTTTGTCTGCACCGAAGGCTGCTACTCTGTGTTTAGCCACCATTTTTCCCCAAATGGCACAAAAAGCTTATCTTCCTTCGCATAAGGCTGCACACCTGGGTCGGTCCGGTGCTGTGAATGCTGTATGGCAGGTGGAACCAGTTCTTCGACTTTCCAAACGCTAATCAGGGATGTGAGCTTTGGGGCTTTATGTATTGCAGAATTTTGCTAGAATAACTCCTTACAGATTAAAAAAAAAAAACTCTTTTCCCTGATTGTAGGATTTCCAGGTTTGGGGAACAAGACTGTCAAAACCGTGAAGGACACGATGTCCCAATGTCTCACGGTGTCTCCATTGTGATTTGTGATGGGTCATATGCTGCCCCTGAATAATCATTCTTGTCATAATGACTCTGGGTGTTTACAAAGATTTGCTACACTGCATTCTCTCTGTTTGTAATCATTTTAATAATGTCTCCTACACAAAAAGGTAAGAATTCAGTGAACAAGTTAAATAACATAGTTTTATATTCAGGGAAACCTTGTGAATGCTAATTCATAATATATTAAAGTATGACAATTTAAGTATTTAGGATACTTTGAAAGATTATAGGTTATCAATGAAAGTTATGTCTGTATCAGGCAAATTGCTGCAGGATTCCTCACTAGATCATACATAATCATCACTAGAGGGCGGTATTCTGCCATAATGTATATTTTCGATTATTTAATACAACCAAGAGGGAGCAGCAATGAGCAAACTGGGCAAACTGTCTCTTTTGGTGTTCTTTAGTTCCTCATTTATTCATCATCTCCTAGAAGAGAGAAAGCAGGTTTAGTACCTGTGGTTTTAATGCGTTGCTTCCTTTCTACAATAGTCAAATACCATGTGAACAGTGAAGACATATCATTCAGGTTCCAGACGTGGGTGTTGGTTCAGAGCTGTTTTATCTAGTATAACTGCACTGTGTGAAATCTAACCTTCAACCTGAATGTGGACATTGCAAAGAAAAAAAGGTAGCCTGCTTCACACAGCACTTCCCTGTACTGGCTTCCCTTTACTGTGGTCACATGACCTTTGAAGTTTGACTGAGATAACAGGCCCGGTCACTTTGATCTCAATTCACAGAAAGGTATTAAATTTGCCACATGCAGGTTTTTAAAGAACCACAGCACCGCACGTGAATTCGCTGAGCAATATAAATGTGATAAACAGATCTTCTCCAGTCGGTGCGCCTGTGGCATGGCAGTGCCTTGCAAGTATAACGTCTGCTTCTTGTGTCTCAGGAAATGGGCTGTTAGTGCAAAGCTGTTAGCCTCGGGCTACGTGGGCGGGGCTGCAGTGAAAATGCGCCTTTCAAAAAAAAAAAAAGCGGGCATCAGGTGCAGAACTTTCATTACTCTCAGAACAGAATTTGGCGGGGAGGGTTGTGATTGGTCTTCCCTGGTGTATGACCCCACTCCTGATTGGACAAAGGCCGTTTTTAAACTGCGGGGTAATTGGCCGGTTCTGAGCCCTCCACCAGAGAGTTCAAAACGAGTAGAGCGGCAAGCCTGTCAAAGAGGAGCCAGGTTTTAGCTTAACTTCAGCACTGCAGGAAACATTCATGTGACGTTTAGCTGGCATTCTTTACAGAAGTACTTTCTGCCCAGTTACACAGTGGGATATTTTAACTGCTGGGATTCTGGTTGGCTGCCTGTCCATGTGCTTCACTCAGGACCTGTGGAGGACGTCCTCAGGGAATGAGTCCTTGTCCTTATCCAGTAGGGCCACCTGCTGATGGTATCTGCTGGACTTAAACTGTTCCTTTAGCATGAAAAAAATTAGCTTGCTGAGAAGGATGCAAATACGAGCCATTGTTTCTCCTGAAATGCAAATGCAAACGCCCCCTCCCCCTCCCCACCACCGTGCCAGTCTTTGATCTAAACACCACATGCCCATTGCAGAATGCGCTTCGCCGTGCCGCAGGGAGTCCGTGGCCTGCTCGGCTCAGGCTCAGGGAATGAGGTCATGTTCCTGAGAGCCTGCTTTTAGGGCTTAATCGCTGGTGATGTATTTTACTCATTTGTGCATTTGTTCAGTGCATAGAAGCTGCCAGAGAAAGCTGAGGGCAGCTGAGAAGCTGTTTGGCTGAGCTGTCCGGGGTGTGAGCATTTGGCTCCCCTCCCCCTCCCCGCCTTCCCCGTCATTAGGAGAAGATAAACAAGAAACATAGACAGAGGCACAAACTGCTGACAGGAGAATGAGGAACTCGTCTTTTCTATTTAGCTTTGAGAGTCGACAAACTTTAGTGTGAAACCTCAGTTCTTCAGCATTAAAGGTAGAAGGCGTGCAGGGCAGGGGAGGTTTTGAGGGCTATTTACCATGGTCTAACCACAATCCTCATAATCACTAATCCTGGGGGGCCTGGTGGCAGGTAAGGCCTGCGAAGGGCAGAGTACAACAGCCTGCAGCACAGAGGGAGCTTCCCTCCTGATCATGGGGAAAGCAGGATGCCAGCACGTCATGTCGGCATCGCCACGTCAGCGAGCCGAAGTCCAAACCACGTCAACGCATCTGTCCCGGCGGCGGCCACTGCTGGCAAAACACTTTCATTTCATGCCTAGCCGAAGATTCTCTTAAAGGTACATTGTCTCTCCCTATCTGAGGACAACCCCGTGGGGGGCAGAGAAATGCTAACTCACTCCATGGCTCCCGAGTCACATGGCCCCAACCCCCCCAGAGGAATAAGCACAATCAGGACTAGGTACGAGACCAACTTGGTGTGGAGCTACATAAATCTATCAGATACTGACAAGAAGGTCGTGGTGTGCCCCCCCCCCCCCCCCCATCCCATCCCACCCCCAGTGCAGCACTTTCTCACATCCTCCTACGCTTTGGCATATAAACAATTTACGACCTGGTGAAAACTGTGCTGCAGCATGGCTGTTAAGAAGGGGCAGCAGACTGCTGCAGAGACTGGGTGGCACTGTCTGTCGCTCAGGGGGTGTGGCCTTCTGGATAGCTCCACCCCCTGCAAGCTTCAGCAATGTTAGGCCCAGTTTTGGTTAAGATTGTTAAATCAAAACTGGATAAACTTAACCGAAGACCTTGCTTGTTATGGATTTGATACAAGATTTATTTAACATTCTTTCTGTTTTAACTGAGAAGAATCTGACTGCTGCTAGAGCACTTTCTTATTATTACTGAAATGTTACACTTGAGTGTGTAATGTATGTCCAGATTTTGTGCTTCAGTGATGGCTTTGAGAGAAGGTCGATGCACTTTGCGCAAAGGGGAAGGAAGTCTGTCTGCTTGCCTCAGAAATGCTTGTTGACACGATCTCTGGGGGAACTCGCAGAATCAGCCAAGTGGGCAGGAACTTTCAACATCACTTCCTGTCGGCCACTGCGGGTCCGGCTAGAGTCATGCTGGCTTTGTCGCCATGATGATGTGCAGTCAGGGGTCGGGGGGGGGGCAACGCTCCCCCAGGACTCTAAGGGCCCTTTTCCACCGCACAAAGTACGGTACTTTGGGTACAGTACTTTCGCTTTTCCATTGACTTCCGGTTGAGTACCAGTACCGAAAGTTCCAATCCCGAAAGTGCCAAACCAGCTGGGGTATTTCTTTGGTACTTCGGTACTTTGGGGTGGGACTTGCAAAAGTATTTGCTATCGATTGGTTATGCAAATAGCCTGCCGCTGAAACACAAAATACAACCGCCATCGTTTGAAACACACAGCAAACAGCGAGAAACAAAATAAAAAGCAGTATAGAAACAAAAATATAAAAAAGTAAAATGGAAGGATGGACAAACGAGGAAACACAGGCTTTAATTGCCATATGGTCAGATGAACAGACACATTCCTGACATCTGACATCATCTCACTGAGGTAAGTCACCCCCCCCCCCCCCCCCCCCGTTTTGCCTAGGTTGCATTAATATGACCCCTTACCCATATTTCAGGTCTACCTGCCCCCAGTCTGCTAAACTTCCACCTTGGAGACCCTGTCAGCTCTCCACCCACCACTGACATCAGGGTGTTGTTTGGTACAACTGTTTGTTGTTTATCAAGGGTGTGGGGGGGTGTCGACATTCCATATATCTCATAATACCTCTGTGTGTGTCTCAACACACAGGTTATGCACTAATTGCACTGTGTTTTTCATATTAAATTATACAGCAGACACAGGTCAGTGCCTCACCACCTTTTAGACCTGTATCCATTACCCTTGTTCTATGGCTAGGGTCCATCTCAGAGGATAACAGCGTGCAGAAGTGCAGAGAAGCACTACTTCCTGTTACCTGTTTCCTCTTCTCCTTTCAAAGCATTCAGCAGCACTGGCCTTTACAGACGCACCATGCGGCACATTTTAGGACATCAGACTGCTGTGATTTCTGCAGTTTCTCTGACGTTCCTGCTTAATCAGCATGTTTGCACTTGGTCAATCTCAGCTCACAGACCCCTGCTGCGCTGCCAGGGTGTGTGCAGTATTATGGACAAAGCAAATCCCCCCCAAGAAGAGAACAAAAACATCCATAGGAGAGCCTTTTAAAACCTCCTCATCTATGTTGCCCATGATGTTTCTGAAAAGATGTACCACTCATATGATCTAATGTTCTTCTGCCACAGTGACCATTAATCCACAGGATGCCTGCACAAGCAATTAGATACAAGGAGGCTGGCTTATGGTAGCTGATAATGTCACTGTACCAGGGCTCATGTCCACATTTGTGAACATACAGCACCCTCACATGACGCTAGTTTGTGTTTAATCAGCCCTCATATATAACAGACAAGGGTGGAGAAGGATTAAATTTCACCAGCCTACAACCCCACTGGCCCACTGGGAAAATGCCTTGTATTCCAGAGGGCCAATCCAGCCCTGCAAACAGTGTTTCCTGCCATTAACAAAATATTGACTGCTTTGGTGCAATGGTTTGTATGTTTGAGAAGAACACATGAAATAACTGAATAGAAATCGGAGCATAGCATATCTATTACGTAAAGAGGCTTTCGGATTTCCTCTCTGGAGAGCAAACCAGCGCTTCCTTATACGTCCGGCTCCGCTTTTGAATATTTAAAGCGAAAACAGCAGCTCTTCCTGCAGATAAGGCGACAGCATTGTTACCGCAATTCGCTAGATACAATGGGTCACTTACTAACCAGCTGCTGGTACGGCGTCTTCAAAAGAAAAATTCAAATACAATACAAAGCAGTCATGGTGCTGGTGAATGACACTGCAGATGACTAAACAAACAATGCTTTGAAAAAGACCGACAGGACACAAAATACTGATGCAAGTACACACAATAGGTGGTTGAAAATGCAATAATATTCCAATATTGGCATAATCATAATTACAGGATTGGCAACCGTCACGCATCCGACATTCCGACATGACACGCTTTGCCTCACGCTCACACAATAAATGTTACGGCAAAAAGGGGTGCCGTAAGGGGGGGTGAAAGTAAAGATGAGTCCAAGGGCTCCTAGTGACAGGGGAGCCTAAAAAAATTGGAAAATAACTGGATTAATCTGGACTGGGGGGGGGGGCAATATCTCTAGCAACACCCCTGACGGCAAATCCATTATTATGTACATTATAAACCTAAGCTACATCAAAAACTTTGGGTAGTTTGCAAACCTTAGTGACTATTTACAAGGTGATAAAACTTTTAAATACATGTAAATGCGTGTGCATATATGTGCAGACTTGTCTCGAATTTAAAATCTCACGGCAGCCATCTGACCGAAACTGGCGACCCTGTATTTGAACAACTCATGGCTTAAGTGGGCCAAGTTTTAATGTGGAGACTGTTGTTGAAAAATG